TCGTAAGTGAGTTCACACAAACCCCTCCATGAAGTTGGGCAGAGTCTCTTTCACTGAGGAGCTCCACCCATGTACATCTATATTGGTTTAGAACTTCTTCCAAAGCCCGTTGAATCTATGGATGTTGGGAAAGTGTGGTGGCAGTGGGTTGGGCTAGACTACACAGTGCACTCCACACATTCTTTCAACATGTGGGTGTGATCTTGTGAACCCTTCTTCTACAAGCGATTTGTTCATTAATACGGTTGCACAAGGGACGCGGGTGGCGCTGTGGGTTAAAGCCTCAGCACCTAGGACTTGCCGATCGAAAGGTTGGCGGTTCGAATCCCCGTGGCGGGGTGCGCTCCTGTCGTTCGGTCCCAGCGCCTGCCAACCTAGCAGTTCGAAAGCACCCTCGGGTGCAAGTAGATAAATAGGGACCGCTTACCAGCGGGAAGGTAAACGGCGTTCCGTGTGCTGCGCTGGCTCGCCAGATGCAGCTTGTCACGCTAGCCACGTGACCCGGAAGTGTCTTCGGACAGCGCTGGCTCCCGGCCTTTAATAATAATATGATAATATTTTTTTATTTATACCCCGCCCTCCCCAGCCAAGGCCGGGCTCAGAGCGGCTTACAAGCAATAATAAAAACAAGATGAATGATTACAACTTAAAAACAAAAATAAAATACAACATTAAAATAATGGAACATTAAAATATTAAAATGTAGCCTCATCACAGGAGGAGAAGGAAAAGAAAAAAGAAAGAGAGGGAGGGAGGGAATCAAACTGGCTCCAAGCCAAAGGCCAGGCGGAACAACTCTGTCTTACAGGCCCTGCGGAAAGAAATCAGATCCTGTAGGGCCTGGTCTCATGAGACAGAGTGTTCCACCAGGCCGGGGCCAGTGTTGAAAAGGCCCTGGCTCTGGTTGAAGCCAATCTAACTTCCTTAGGGCCTGGGGGGACCACTAGGGTGTTGCTGTTTATGGACCTTGAGGCTCTCCGTGGGGCATACCAGGAGAGGCAGTCCCGTAGGTACGAGGGTCCTAGGCCGTGAAGGGCTTTAAAGGTCAAAAGCAGCACCTTAAATCTGACCCTGTACTCCACCGGAAGCCAGTGCAGCTTGAAAAGCACTGGGTGAATATGCTCCCATGGCAGAGACCCTGTGAGGAGCCTTGCTGCAGCATTCTGTACCCGCTGGAGTTTCTGGGACAGCTTCAAGGGCAGCCCCGCGTAGAGCGAATTACAGTAGTCAAGCCTGGAGATGACCGTCGCATGGATCACTGTGGCCAGGTCGGGGCGGGAAAGGTAAGGGACCAACTGCTTGATGCGGCGAAGGTGGAAAAATGTCGCCTTGGCTGTTGCTGTAACTTGCGCCTCCATGGAAAGGGAGGCGTCAAGGATTACACCCAAACTCTTAACGGAAGGCAATGGCACTAATTGGGCCCCCGCAAGAGAAGGGAGTTGGTCCCTCATCCCCATGCCATCCTGACCTAGCCATAGGACCTCTGTCTTTGAAGGATTTAGTTTCAATCGGATCCCACGAAACCATCCAGCTACAGCTTCCAAGCATCTGGTCAGTGTGTTCGGGGCCAAGTCAGTGTGGCCATCCATCAGCAGATAGAGCTGAGTGTCATCAGCATATTGGTGACAGCCCAGCCCAAAGCTCCGGATAATCTGGGCAAGGGGCACATAAAGATGTTAAAAGCATCGGGGAGAGAATTGCGCCCTGCGGCACTCCACACACCAAGGAGTGGCGCAACGACATTTCCCTCCCTAGTGCCACCCTCTGTCCCCGACCAGAGATAAAAGAGCACAACCAGTTACGGGCTATGCCCTGTATCCCCACGTCTTTGAGGCGGTGGTCCAGAAGATCATGATTGACCATGTCAAAGGCTGCTAACAAATCTAAAAGGATCAGCAGTCCTGACCCGCCTCGATCCAGTTGTCTACGGAGATCATCTGTTAGGGCAACCAGAGCCGTCTCCGTCCCAAAACCAGGATGGAAACCGGACTGAAATGGATCTAATGCCGATGTTTCCTCCAGAAACCTACCAAGCTGTTCAGCAACCGCTCTCTCAATTACCTTACCCAGGTATGGAAGATTTGAAACTGGGCGGTAATTGGATAGGTCTAAGGGATCTGATGAAGTTTTCTTTAAGAGTGGACACACCACTGCTTCCTTCAGTTCCCCTGGGAATGTCCCCGTGTCAAGGGACAAATTGATAATTTCAACCAGGGGGGTCCGCGCAACATCTAGAGTGAGATGAGCGCACAACCCTAGAGTCTGGCAAGACTGGCCCGTACGGGCAGGGGTACCTTTACCCTTTTTACGGTTGCACATGTTTCATCACCTCAAGTGTTGTCAAGTTCTTCTCATTTATCTTCACAGGACATTTGATGTCACGTAGGAGTCTGCAACCTGAATCAGTCTTGACAACATTGAGCTTGGTGGACTAACGGTCTGGTGTGCTATAAGACAAGTCTCTTGTTCTTTTATTCCTTCCTCACTCAGGTGGAAAGGCAGAGACTTAACCATGGCCAAGCTAAGGCTAAACAAGCAACAGAGGTGTTGTTTCAAATAAAGGAGCCATGGTTTTAAGGAGAGTTAAGCAGGAAGCAACTTTGTAGCAAAATTTCATTTCAGATATGAAGCCTTAGAGAAGAACATTCACCTCAGAGGAATGTACAGATAGAAGAACCTTCTTGACGCTGTTTACTAAACTTTTTTATAGTTTTACTGACTTTCTCTTGTCACAATTCCCTTTTACACTTACAGGATTCTAGATTGTAAGTTTCCATATTTTGCCCTCAGTTTAGGCCAGGGTTTCCCAAACTTGGGTCTCCATCTGTTTTTGGACTATAGCTACCATCATCCCTAGCTGGCAGGACCAGTGGTCAGGGATGATGGGAACTGTAGTTCGAAAACTTCTGGACACCCAAATTTGAGAAACGCTAGTTTAGGCCATTATAAACTCCACGTATCCATGTCTAAGTCTGATAATATCTTTATCTGCTGTCACCATAAAGTCTTGAACCTGTGTCCTTTAGCTGAGAGTGTGGTTCTGTGGTGTTTGGGGATGGGGATTTCTATACCATGCAGCATTTCAAAGTGGCAGGGTTCAACAGGGTCTTTTTCAACCATTCTCCTAAAAATTGTACCATTCTACCTACTTTTTGGGGGACGCGGGTTAAACCACAGATCCTAGGACTTGCCAATCAGAAGGTCGGTGGTTCGAATCCCTGCGACGGGTGAGCTCCAGTTGCTCGATCCCAGCTCCTGCCCACCTAGCAGTTCAAAAGCACGTCAAAGTGCAAGTAGATAAATAGGTACCACTCCAGCGGGAAGGTAAACAGGGTTTCCGTGTGCTGCTCTGGTTCGCCAGAAGCGGCTTAGTCATGCTGGCCACATGACCCGGAAGCTGTATGCCAGCTCCCTCGGCCAGTAAAGCGAGATGAGCGCCGTAACCCCAGAATTGGCCACAACTGGACCTAATGTTCAGGGGTCCCTTTACCTTTTTTATAACAGTTAAACTCGTGTAAGAGGAATTGGGATTCTGCAAGCTGTGGCTGGTGTTGATAGCCAACACCACATGACCCAGAAGCTGTACGCCACATGACCCAGAAGCTGTACGCCGGCTCCCTTGGCCTATAGAGCGAGATGAGCGCCACAACCCCAGAGTCGGCCACGACTGGACCTAATGGTCAGGGGTCCCTTTACATTTACCTTTACCTACTTTTTGGAAGATGGGAGTACCTTGTGTGCTCTGGTCCATGGGGTCACGAAGAGTCGGACACGACTAAACGACTAAACAACAATAACCTACTTTTATCCTGCTGAGGAATTTATGCAGTTGCCATGATCAGATAGTCAAGTAAGCATCTGGAAATACATGACCCAGGACAAAGTAGAAACAGAGAGGAATGAATAAATATTAGGAAAGGGGTGTTGGGTTAGGCAGAGTTCAAAATCAAAGCATAGAAGGCATAATGGAGGGAAGCAAGCAGACTGCAGCCACAATATCAGTAACTGATTGCTGATATCAGGAAACCATGAAGTTTATTTAGGGCAGCGTTCTCCAACCTGGAGCCCTCCACATACAGTGGTGCCTCGCAAGACGAAATTAATCCGTTCCGCGAGAGTCTTCGTCTAGCGGTTTTTTCGTCTTGCGAAGCAACCCTATTAGCGGCTTAACGGATTAGCGCTATTAGCGGTTTAGCGGCTATTAAAGGCTTAAAGGCTTAGGGGATTAGCTGCTAAAAGGCTATTAAAGGCTATTAAAGGCTTAGCAGATTAGATAAAGGGGGGGGAAAGCGAAAAAAAAATCTCAAGACTCGCAAGACATTTTCGTCTTGCGAAGCTAAGCTCATAGGGGAATTCGTCCTGCGAAGCAACTCCAAAACGGAAAACCCTTTCGTCTAGCGGTTTTTCCGTCTTGCGAGGCATTCGTCTTGCGGGGCACCACTGTATTTTGAAATCTAGGGCATCCATTCCAACTGGCTGTAGAAGATTGACCAAAGGACTCCTGTAGAAAATGCTACTTGTAACAAAACGCTACCTTGGAAGAAAAGAGGTCTGTGTTGTTCCCTTTCCTTTCCTTTCCTTCAGCCTGAGGACCTGCATGTGACATGTAGTTCCATGTTTTTGAGGTGGGGGCTTGTTTATGCAATGCTGCCCCTGCAGGGAGGGGAGTGAGAAGGGCTTTTGAACTCTCCCTCCCCTCCTGAAAATTACAGCAAAGGGAGAGAGTGAGTAAGTTAGTAAGTTAGTGAGTGAGTGAGAGAGAGGGGGTGGGATACTTTTAACACCTTCTAGGTAAAATATACTAGTACTGTACACATATTTCTTTCAAATGCACTTTAGCAGTCTCCTGACCTCAAATCATGACTTAGTTCAGTGGCATCCAGTAGCGAGGCTCCAGAGAAATGGTTGATGATGGAACATTGTTGACATATATAATAATTATGTTTGTGTAGTTATGCAAGCAAGAGTGCTGAGTGGTGTCCGAGATAACTTGAGTTGCTAGTTTGGTCGTGTGTGTGTGTGTGTGTGTGTGTGTGTACACACACACACACACACACACACACACACTGTTTTGTTTATTCTTTTCTGCCTGTGCTCTGCCAGCAGGCATTTGGAGTCCTTGGATCTTGATGGCAGCAACCTGCTGTGTTCTGAACTTTTCTATCCACAGGTTGACTGTGTGGTGTAAGAAGATAACATTCTATAAGTGCACATTTAGAGCTCCTTTTTGTGGTATGAACAGTTGCATGGTAAATTTCAGTACAGCACGGGAACATGAAAACTCAGACCTTGGCTGCGTTGTCTCCAAAATGTAATCTCTTAATTTGAAATCCCATTGTGGAGTGAGACTCTTAATGCCTGTTGAATTACAGCACGCACAATATCAGAACACACACCTGTGCAGTGTCGATGGAGATTTATCATAATGTCAGTTAGTCTTTCCTTTCGTTGGGTTATTTAATAAGTTTCTATACCCTCCCCTTTTATCAAAAAGCCACGGGACAGTTTACAACATACAATTTAATAAAACAAAATAATGTTTTATAACAGAATGCTCATTAAATGCAAAAAATTAAAACTGTTATATAGATACAATTCATAATAATAAGCATAAGCAATACATAATGAACAGCAATATCACCCTATTTACAGTGTCAACCCAGCAGTGAAGCTCCCATCTCAGCCCCTGAAAAATACAAGATTAATAGTGTAAGTTATTGTCTACTCATCTCAGGTACAACTATAAAACATTTAATAACAGCAGCATGATGAAAAATATTGGGGGTGGGCAGCGGCACCATACCTAAAGTGTAGAAATAGTGCACAAAGTGCAAATACTTCTCTCCCTCTACAACACTAGTTCTTAATCCTACCTCACCACAGAAAATGACAGACCCTCTCATCTCTCATCTGGGTGCTTTCTTTTCTTCTCAGTCTCTCTCTTTCACCCTGGGAGATTTCCACTTCCACACTTTTCTCTTGTGGTCCTGTCACCATCTGTCTGCCACTTTCAGGGGTTTGCGTGTTAGAGAATCACCAGTTCATATATATATATATATATATATATATATATGTATATATATCTGAATGACTGCATAACCCCTGAAAGTGTGTGTGTGTGTGTGTGTGTGTGTGTGTGTGTGTGTGTATGTATATATGTATAGATATGTCTTAAGATGAGATGTGCAAAGGTTGCTGAGATGGAATGAAGATCCCCTCCCATTTTGTGGAGGCTGGCATTGGTGGCTTGCTAGGAAGCGAATATGAGAGGGGTTTATTCCTAACTGCATCCTTTCTATGACTTTTTGTCTGAAAATAATTTGCACAAAATAATTACATCACTTTCAAGGTAATCTGTTTTCCACCTCACACCAGCTTTTCAGTCAAGTATAGTATGGAGTTCATTCTCCCAACACAAGTTTTGAAGAGAACATTTATTTTTTTATAAAAATCTTAGCCAAATCTGCCCATTATTTTTTCAGTGTTGCTTTGGGGGGATGGCTATGTGTGTGCAGGGGGTATATCTAAAAAAGTGGCCCTAACATTATTTTCCTACAAATCTGTTTTTCAAATGTAGGAACCAGGTGCATCAGAGCTCAGTAAGTGCTTCAAAATGGTGTTTGAAAAGTGGGGTCAGAACAAAAATACGCTATAGATTATCCCATTGAAGGTAAAATCATGTGTACAATGCTATGCTGGAACTGGTTCTTATAGCTTTTTTGTTTTTGTATTCAATTACCAATCAAATCAATTCAGATCAGCTTATTTTCTGCCACATTCCATGAAGATGTTGTGTAAGATATTGAAATTCAAAACAAATTCCCTTGTGTTGCATTTGCAAGCCTATATGCAAAATTGTTCTATTTTAGGGAGTAATTTTTATTCGTGCCATCTTTTCTAGAATTCAAGCCCTTTTTGTAACATTAAAGCTTGCATTTCAACTTATTCAGTTCATGAATAGTTAGCCAAGCAGTATAAAGAATATACTGCTCAAACCCCTAGAAAGTCACAAGGGAGAGAGAAAGAAGGTTTTCATAATGGAGAAATTTGTGATACGCTGGTTTCAGTCCCCAGAAAGTTTATTGTGTAGCTGGTTCCTGGGCACTGCCATTGTTTCGTATGGAGATATGTGTACAGTGAAGTATCCAGTCCTTTTTGAGAGGTGATGGGATATTCCATTAGAAAATAAGTGACAGTCATTGATTAAAACAATTCTTCCCGTTAATGCCTTTGTTTGCACATAACACTAAGCCAAACCATGACTTGGCATGATTGAGCAAATGTGTAGCTCCTGGACAGGGGTTTGCAGCTGCTTTGCTCTTCCCTGGTCATTTTGGTCCCGAGCTCCACTGAGCTAAGCCTCGGTGCCAGCTCAATCTGCTGTCCAGGTGCTAACTCTGGATGGCCAACTTCAACCCTTTGCTCTCTCTTCTTATGCTTCATCTTTATACTAGATTCAGGGCAGTCCTTCAAACAGTGTTCTACAGAGTAGGTCACACGGTCATAGAATCATATAATCATAGAGTTGGAAGAGACCACAAGGGCCATCGAGTCCAACCCCCTGCCAAGCAGGAAACACCATCAGAGCACTCCTGACATATGGTTGTCAAGCCTCTGCTTAAAGACCTCCAAAGAAGGAGACTCCACCACACTCCTTGGCAGCCAATTCCACTGTTGAACAGCTCTTACTGTCAGGAAGTTCTTCCTAATGTTTAGGTGGAATCTTCTTTCTTGTAGTTTGGATCCATTGCTCCGTGTCCGCTTCTCTGGAGCAGCAGAAAACAACCTTTCTCCCTCCTCTATGTGACATCCTTTTATATATTTGAACATGGCTATCATATCACCCCTTAACCTCCTCTTCTCCAGGCTAAACATGCCCAGCTCCCTTAGCCATTCCTCATAAGGCATCATTTCCAGGCCTTTGACCATTTTGGTTGCCCTCCTCTGGACACGTTCCAGTTTGTCAGTGTCCTTCTTGAACTGTGATGCCCAGAACTGGACACAGTACTCCAGGTGAGGTCTGACCAGAGCAGAATACAGTGGCACTATTACTTCCCTTGATCTAGATGCTATACTCCTATTGATGCAGCCCAGAATTGCATTGGCTTTTTTAGCTGCCGCGTCACACTGTTGGCTCATGTCAAGTTTGTGGTCAACCAAGACTCCTAGATCCTTTTCACATGTACTGCTCTCAAGCCAGGTGTCACCCATCTTGTATTTGTGCCTCTCATTTTTTTGCCCAAGTGCAATACTTTACATTTCTCCCTGTTCAAATTCATCTTGTTTGTTTTGGCCCAGTTCTCTAATCTGTCAAGGTCGTTTTGAAGTGTGATCCTGTCCTCTGGGGTGTTAGCCACCCCTCCCAGTTTGGTGTCATCTGCAAATTTGATCAGGATGCCCTTGAGTCCATCATCCAAGTCGTTGATAAAGATGTTGAATAAGACCGGGCCCAAGACCGAACCCTGTGGCACCCCACTAGTCAGTCTTCTCCAGGATGAAGAGGAACCATTGATGAGCACCCTTTGGGTTCGGTCAGTCAGCCAGTTACAAATCCACTGAGTGGTAGTATAGTCAAGACCGCATTTTACCAGCTTCTTTACAAGAATATCATGGGGCACCTTGTCAAATGCCTTGCTGAAATCAAGGTAGGCTACATCCACTGCATTCCCTTCATCTACCAGGCTTGTAATTCTGTCAAAAAACGAGATCAGGTTAGTCTGACATGGCTTATTTTTCAGAAATCCATGCTGACTATTGGTGATCACAGCATTCCTTTCTAGGTGCTCACAGACTGTTTGCTTAATGATCTGCTCCAGAATCTTCCCTGGTATTGATGTCAGACTGACTGGGCGGTAATTATTTGGGTCCTCTCTTTTCCCCTTTTTGAAAATAGGGACAACATTTGCCCTCCTCCAGTCTGCCGGGACTTCGCCTGTTCTCCAGGAATTCTCAAAGATGACTGCCAGTGGTTCTGAGATCACATCTGCCAGTTCTTTTAATACTCTTGGATGCAGTTCATCTGGCCCTGGAGACTTGAATACATCTAAACTAGCCAAGTATTCTTGTACTATCTCCTTAGTTATTCTGGGCTGTGTTTCCTCTGCTGAATCATTTGCTCCAAATTCTTCAGGTCGGGCATTGTTTTCTTTATCGGAGAAGACTGAGGCAAAGAAGGCATTGAGGAGTTCAGCCCTTTCTGTGTCCCCTGTTTGCATTTCACCATCTTCTCCTCTGAGTGACCCCACTGTTTCTTTGTTCTTCCTTTTGCTACGAACATACCCATAAAAGCCTTTTTTGTTGCTTTTAACCTCTCTAGTAAGCCTGAGTTCATTCTGTGCTTTAGCTTTTCTAACTTTGTGTCTACACGTGCTGGCTATTTGTTTGAATTCCTCTTTGGTGGTTCCCCCCTTTTCCATTTTTTGTACACATCCTTTTTTTAATCTTAACTCAGTTAAAAGTTCTTTAGATAGCCACCCTGGCTTCTTTAGGCACCTTCCATGTTTCCGTCTCATTGGTATTGCCTGAAGTTGTGCTTTTACTATCTCCCTCTTAACAAACTCCCAGTCATCATGAACTCCCTTTCCTTTTAGTATTACTGTCCATGGGATCTCATCCAGCACTTCCCTAAGTTTTATGAAGTCGGCTTTCTTAAAGTCAAGAAATTGAGTCCTAGTATGCTTGGCTGCTCCTTTCCGCTGTATAGTAAACTTCAGAAGAGCATGATCACTCGCGCCTAATGATCCTTCCACTTCTACCCCACTAACCAGGTCATCAACATTGGTTAGGACCAGATCTAAAATGGCTGTTCCTCTTGTTGCTTCTCCCACTTTCTGGACAATGAAGTTGTCTGCAAGGCCAGTGAGGAATCTGTTTGACCTTATGCTCTTGGCTGAGTTTGACATCCAACAAATATCCGGGTAATTGAAGTCCCCCATTACTACTATCTCCCTTCCTTTTGCATGCTTGGCCATCTGTTCCAGGAAGGCATCATCTATGTCCTCCGTTTGGCTTGGGGATCTATAGTAAACTCCGACAATGCGGTCACTGTTATTCTTCTCTCCCTTAATTTTGACCCAAA